CCAGCGCCTCGCCGCCTCCGATCCACGCCGCCATCCTGCCCTGAGGACTCCGGAGGCCATCGCGGGACCTCGACGGCCGGCCTCGTCTGCAGTTGTATTAAGTTGTCTCCGTGTCCCCTCCTCCCTCCACCCCCAATGTTTCTTCTGGTTTTTTTTTCTCCTTTCCGTCCTTCCTCCCCCTGCTCCCCCTCCCTTGGTTCAGCACAGGTAAACCGGTTACCCCTCCCTCCCGCCTGCCTCATGGATCACCAGCTCACGTCATGTTTCCTTCTCTTTTCTTTTTGTGTGTGTTTAAGTTATTTTTTCTTCCTCCCCTTTTCTTTTCCGTCCTCCCCCCTCTTCTGCCATGTAACTGGAGGATGTGCAATCAGTTTGCAAACAGCTGGACTGTCAGGCTGCTTTTTTTCCAGATGTTCCTCCTCTGCCTCCCCTCCCCTCCCTCTCCCCTTACCCTTTCCTTCCTTCATTCTTTCCTTGGAGCACTGAGCACCATTTGGAAGCTTGAGAGAAACCAAAATTAAAGAGAGAGAGAGAGAGAGAGAGAGCGCGTGCACGATCTGTACTCTGCTTGGACCAGCTGTCCCCGAGTTGGGTACTGGCCCTTATTTCTTTTGGAGTTGAGATCCCAGCGGGATCTCAGCCAGGGCCTGATAGGTGCCCCCTGCCCTCCCCATGCGGCACAGCCAGAGTTTCCCCAGGGGCTGGCTCCCCAGCTCCTGCCCTGGGCTGAACCCCAGCTTGGGGAGGTAGACTTGGGAGCCCTGGGGCACCTTGGCTAGGGTAAGATGTGGGTGTAGCCCTCCAGGGGGCTGCAACACTCTCAGCCCCTCGACCTCTAGTCTGTGACTCAGCCCTTGAGCCATGCTGTCCAGGGAGGGGGAGGGAGGGGCACAGAGCACATGGGAACCTAAGAGCACCAGGCGCTCAAACCTCAGCCTTGGAGGAACCGGAAGCCTGGGGTCTGAAAGCACGCGTCTCAGTATGGTGGCTGCAGCCGCCACCTCCCCAGGGCCCGCTAGCCTCAGCAGGGCCAGTGTCAGGTGCAGGGCCTGAGTTGGCACTGTGGACGTCGCACAAGCCGGTGCAGCTCGTACCAGTTCTTCCTGGGCCTTCGTCACCGCAGCTTGCAGCTCTGGCTCGGTCACCATGAGAGCCACAAAGTGCGTGGGGCGGGGCTGGCGAAGACCCACAGCTCTGGCCAAGGTGGATGCTCCGTTGTCCACGGGCCAGATCCCAGGACCCAAATCCACTTCTGTTTCAGAAAGGCCTTCCGAGGGCCATTCTGGGGTTAACCTAGCTGGCAGCTCCCCACCCAGGGGGTCCATGGTCCTGGTAGCAGGGGCAGCTGGCTTCAGCGCCCTTCCTGGTTCCATCCACAAGGAAGTTAGGTCTCCAAGGCCGCCCAACTCCCGCTCCTGAGCCCTAGCCGATTCCCCCACCAGCGCCAGGCACCCAACTTCCGGGCCTCCGTTATCTGGAGCTAAGGCATGGATGCCAAGACGAGTCGCAGCCGCTCCGTCCAGTGCGTCTTCGGCCCCATCAGTGTCCCCACCGCCAAGCGCATCTCTGGCCCGGTGCACGTCCTCGCCGTCATTCACGTCCCCAGTCCTGTGAGCATCCACGGCCACGCCCTCGCCGTCCTGCTCATCCTCCGCTCCGTCGCCACCGTCGTGAGCGTTCACGGCGTCGCGCGCACCTCCGACCCAGTGCGCGCCCTGGCCGTTATTTGTGTCCGCCGTCCCGTGCACGTCCCTAGCCCTGGCCCGGCCGTCTTGCGCGTCCACGCCGCAGCGCTCTCCTCCAGTCCCGTGCGTGTCAACGCCGTCGTTCGAGTACGCGGTGTCGTGTGCGTCCTCGCCGGCGGCGGCCTCTCCGATCTCGAGCGCGTCCCCACTGTCGAGTGCGTCCAGGATCGTGGGCCCGCGACCCGCCGCAACGCCCGAGCCGAAGACGAGGTCAGTACGCGAGGCGCGG